CCCCCGCGCGGAGCCCGGCCTCGCGATCGCGGGGAGGGTTGGGGAGGGGAGGAGTGCGGAGGAGGAGGGAGGGGGTACTGAGCGACCGCGATGGCCAGCACCCGGAGTATCGAGCTGGAGCACTTCGAGGAGCGGGACAAAAGGCCGCGGCCGGGGTCGCGCCGCGGGGCGCCCAGCTCCTCCGGGGGCAGCAGCAGCTCGGGCCCCAAGGGCAACGGGCTCATCCCCAGCCCGGCGCACAGCGCGCACTGCAGCTTCTACCGCACGCGCACCCTGCAGGCGCTCAGCTCCGAGAAGAAGGCCAAGAAGGCGCGCTTCTACCGCAACGGGGACCGCTACTTCAAGGGCCTGCTCTTCGCCATCTCCGGGGACCGCTTCCGCTCCTTCGACGCGCTGCTCGCCGAGCTCACCCGCTCGCTCTCCGACAACGTCAACCTGCCCCAGGGCGTCCGCACCATCTACACCATCGACGGCAGCCGCAAGGTCACCAGCCTGGACGAGCTGCTGGAAGGTGCGTGTGCTTGTGTGTGTGTGCGTGGGGGGGGGTCCCCCCGGGTCTCCCTCGCCCCCCACACCTCCCCTGGGCGCGCGGGGCGGCAGGTGCAGCAGGGCCTGAACCCACCGCGCGCGCGCCCCCTCCCCTCGGCCCGGCGTGGCGGAGACTGGGGGGGAGGAGGGGAGAGAGCACAGGTCGGGTGCTTTGTGGGGTGCTGCGCTTTCCCCGCTTCAGAAGCTTGGGGTGATGGGGGGGAGGGAGAACCACCTGTCCACACGGATTATTCCTTCCTTCCCAGGAAGGAAGGGGGAGAGGGAGGTGGTCTTTCTCTTTAAACCGGGGCTGGGTGGGAATTGTCAGAGGCCTGGTCAGGCGTTGCCTGCCGCCTCTCAATGTTTGACAACTTGTTTTTTGTGGAGACCCAAACTTTGTAAAGGAAAAGAAAAGAAAAAATGACTGTCCGGGGGAGCAGCCTGATGACACCGCACCCGACCCCCAGCTCAGACACCTACCTGTGACGTTGCCATGTGTGGGGTCCTGTAGTCTCGGTGTGGGGTCCTGTAGTCTCGGCTCCGACCAGCTGTGGCCGAGGCAGGCCCCAGGCTTTCCTGCTGGCGCTTGCTTCAATGTCACTTGAGTCTGGACAGGTGACCCTAGCCAGCAGGTAACTCAGTCCTGGATGCCTCCTGGATCACACTGAGCACTTTCAGAAATATTGGTGATTCCCCCCTCCTCCATCTTAAATATCCATATCATATCATGATATCCATATCATAAATATATGCTTGGTTTGGGGTGTTGCTTGGACAGGCAGAATTTTGAAAACTGTGGATGATTGTAATGTGTAGGTAAAGTGGGGCTTTCCCCAATGGCTGGCAAAGGCCAATCAAGGTCAGGCTTCCTGCCTCCTTCTCTTCCTCCCAGGAGAAAGGCTAGTTAGAGTGATGGAGGTTATTGCAATCCACAGTTGGGCCAGGCCTCCCTCGGAGGGACCACTTTGCAGGATGTTGGGTCATTCCTATAACCTTTACTCCTACGGAAAGAAGAGTGCTACTGGCAGTTAAGAAGGTGCTTCAAGTTCTAAACAAGACCCAGAAAGATCAGGTAGCTCTTTCTACAGATCTCCAGAGGGTCAGCTCTCCAGCACCTTTCTTAGTCCTTTTGGCCCACTGTGACTAGCCGTAGGCAGGGAAAGAAATCAACTCCAGAGTCACACATTTCCCTTCCGTTTTCTCATCTGGCTCTTCTATGGTGTTCTAAATGAATGTCATTCATTTTACTGATGAGGAAACTTAAGCAATAAGCATCTCACTGGGTATGCTTTTTTTTTTTTCCTGCACTTCAGCTCTAATCCATGGGACCACGCTTAGCAGATGTTTGCCTATTTCTGGCTAGATGACAACTCACCCAAAATAAATGTGGGTGGGAGGGGCAGGGTGTTCCCATAGTTTCTTGGTCAGTAGTGTTTTGGTTTTAAGGACAATTTTAAGAACATAAGTAAGAAGAAAATGTGGTGTATGGAGAGTCTTACTTCTTGGTCATCTTAAACACTTGAAAGCAGTTATTTGTAAAGTGATTACTTTTCTGCCTTTTTTTAAAATCCTCATTAGTTATTTTTCAGTCTCTTGTTTATTTTATCCAGGCCAGTCTTGGACCTCCATATTCCTTTTCCTTCTTCCTATGTAGCCGGGGTTACAGACATGCACCACTACACCTGGCTTGGTCTTTGAGCTCAGATCTTCCTTGCTGTGTGTGCAGGCTGGCTGGCCACTTGAACCTAGTGGCCCTTATCCTCCCAAGTAACCGGAATCTGAAGTGATTTTAACCATGTATTTGTTATATAGAATTAAGGTGATTTATAGAGGATTATCAGGAGTAATCATCGCTGAAATGATCCAAGCAACTATTTTCTATATTAATTCATGAGAGGCTGCATTGTATGAAGGTTGTCCCTACCTAGGGGGTTTGCATGATCCACTGGAACTTATTCTTAAACTTGGGTCCCAACTAAAAATGAATGGTTGACAAATTTCCTTCAAATCATTCATTCACTGATATGTGGAGGATAAAGAGTTGGGAAGAAACCCACTCTGTCCAAATCACTATAGTGAGATAAATAATGGCATGACAGACATTCATTCACCCAACAAATGTTATAAGATGGCTTTGCTCATTTGTGTGAAGTTGTTTTAAGGAATTACATGAAAAGAAAACAGGGTCCTTTATGTTGTCATAGTGGAATTTGTCTGTGACAGTGGATTTTGTCTCCTTTTTTAAATTTCCTACAAAATGCGTAGAATACCAGTCCAGTAAAATGCTTCTCAAAGGAAAACTAGCCATCAATACTAAATGCCCACCAGGTGCCAGAGACTCACACTTGTCATCCTAGCTACTCAGAAGGCTGAGATCTGAGGATCATGGTTCAAAGCAACCCTGGGCAAGAAAGTCTGTGAGACTCTTATCTCCAATTAACCACCAGAAAACTGGAAGTGGCACCGTGGCTCAAGTGGTAGAGCACTCACCTTGAGCTGAAGAGCTGAGGGACATCACCCAGGCCCAGAGTTCAAGCCCTATGACAAAAACAAACAACAACAAAAAACCCTTAATACCCATCACTCCAGAATGCAAATAGTTTGGACTTTTAGGTAAAGTCAGGTGTGCAAATGCTCATCTTGATCTTGAGAGGAACTAGCCTGTTCTATCAAGATGTTTGCCTTCATTAGCACAGGTCAGTAGTGCTGCCCGGGCTGTTGTGTTTGGCTGTAGTCCATTGCTTTCTAATAAAGAGTCTCCTCAACAGTATTTATACAGTTCTATTTGGCTCTTTTCTACCGCTTCCATTCCATGAAACTTGTAGTTTAAAGGGATTTTTTTTTTCCTTTTTTTCCCCTAAGTTGTTATCCAGAAGAAATAGGAAAAAAAAAATGGCTGGCGACTGCGAGGCGTGAGCACCCATTCAGAGCCAGGATCCCGTACCCACAGGACAAAAGAAATTTGCATGGCCTAGATTTTTTTCTTTCTGCCCTGGACCTTGAAAGTCTCTGGAGATGAAAAGCTGTTCTGCTGTTACTACTACACTGCCCGCCGCCAGCAGGCTCCTTCAGCTTATTGATTTACCTAGGCTGGCAGGATTAATTCTACTGAATTGATGAAATGGATGCATTCCTGAAATCCTGTTTATTCTTTCCAGCTGGTTGGGGGTCTTTTCGCCATCTTTGACTCCTAGCAGTCAGTCAATACTGGGGAAGTCTGGCTTGGAATAATCTCTCGTGGTCCCCCAAAAGATGTCTAAATTGGTGGGGCATCATTGGGTACTCTTCTGCTCAGCCTGTTAGAATTTCTAACTCTAGTTCTCTTCCATGGGATGCCTTTCCTCCAGAGCCTTTCGGAGGTGTAGATAACAATGGGCTGCCCTGAAGAGGTTTTGCCCAGGATGGGAAAAGGCAGTGACCAATAGGATTGGAGAATAGTGGGTTGGAGAACAGTTCACCTCAGTTCTCTGGCTTCCTTGTCCTTTCCTGTAGACCAAGAGCTTGGCAGATTCCCTCTCTGTGCTGGGTCCCTTTTGGCCTCCCGTGTGTACCCTTCTCTGACCTAAGTGGCTGTGTGTGGAGTGTCAGGGCCTGGGCGGCCTTTTCCTAGCCGCAGTGTGTCCCCCAGAAGATACAGAGACTCCCACTGTCCCCCTGTGGAGCAAGGAGAGTTGCGTGGAGCTGTGACATAGTGTTTGCTGGAGCCAAAGAAAATCACAGCTACTTGTTCCTGCCAGAAAGGGTCTTCATCTAGACGTCCTTTTATCCCGTATTTGTAAAGGGAAGCTTTAGACAAAATAAGGTGGAATGGGGGTGGTTCCTAGATCTCTGCAGGGAATGTATTTTGAAATATAGGACTTGTTTTCGCTAAACCACAGATTTTGTTGTTGGGACGAGCTGTGCTGACTCGGCCTGGAATCCCTGCCCTACCTCATATGATCTTATTGTCCTCTTCCCAGAGCTGCTTTGACACGGCTGCTTAATAAGCTGTTTCCAGAGTAACCGGAAGAGAAGTTTTCATTTGGATAAGCCGAAAGGGTTGGGGAAAATGGGGATATGCGGAAAGCATGTATGAGATGAATATGGTGCCGTCCTCCTCGGAAAGTTGTAAGACAAGATGAGTATTTCATGAGAGTTTAAGCTATGGAAACGGATACAACGTGGCCCTGGTGTATTAAAGAAAGGAAATTAGGTTCTCTTGGCCTGTGATTATCAAACTTTTTCTTTAATGCCGGTCGTGGGCTTGAACTCAGGGCTTGGGCACTGTTCCTGAGACTCTTTGTGCTCAAGGCTAGTGCTCTACCACCTGAGCAACAGTGCCACTTCTGGCCTTTTTGAGTAGTTTGTTGGAGGTAAGAATCTCATGGGGATGTTTCTGCCTGGACTGGCTTCAAACCGTGATCCTCAAATCTCAGCCTCCTGAGTAGCTAGGCACTGGTGCCAGGCTGTGTCAAACTTCTTTATCACCCAGGGGACTCAGAGAAGTCTGACTAGGACTAACCCTCCTCATCCCGACCCCCTCCTGCTCACACATTTCTTTCTGTCTCCTCTCTCGATGAACTAAACCACTTTGTATGCAGTTACTGTGTGAGGTACTTGGATTATTCTCTCTCTCTCTCTCTCTCTCTCCCTCCCTCCCTCTCTCCCTCTCTCCTTCTCTCCCTCTTTCTCTCTCTCCCCCCTCTCTCCCTCTCTCTCCCTCTCTCCATGTCTCTCACTATCTCTCTGTCTCTGGCTTGGGAACTCTCACTTGGCTTTTTCCCTCCAAGGCTGGCACTCTACCACTTGAGCCATACCTCCACCTCCCCGCTTTTGTGTTGGTTAATTGGAGGTAAGAGTGTCACTGACTTTCCCTGCCTGGGCTGGCTTTGAACAGGGCTCCTCTGATCTCAGCTTCCTGATTAGCTAGGACTACAGCATGAGCCACCAGCACCCAGCTTGAATGTGGTTTTGAATGTGGTCTGCCCTCGTCCATCCTCACGGTGAACCTTGCTTGTTCAGTGTCACAGGAGCCAGGTGGTACATGTAATGGCAGTAGCTAGGTCAGGGTGCATTACCCTCAGAAGGGGTCTATTTAGTTCTGCTGGGTGGACCCCTACCCCCACCCCAGCCTGGGTGTCTTAATGATGATTATCGAGGTATGACATAGGCACTTCAGAGGATGAAACGCAGGACACCCCCCCCCCCGCACCATGCCCTGAGCCTGTGTGCTGAAGGTCTGGGAGCCAAGGAGGCCAAAGTGGGTTTCTGAGGAGTCAGCAGGAGTGGGTGAGGAAGGGCTCTCAGGGCGAGCCATGGGAGGAGTCTGGTTGCACAGGAGAGCTGGTGTTTGTGAACTGGGATGCAGCTCCTTACCTATTTTGACTTTGCCATCCTGAACCCCCACTGGAAAACAAAACTGCAGACAAATCTGAGTGGCAGCTCTCCTGGTCACCTTGGCAGTTGACCCATGGATCCTGGGATCGTGAATTTGCTCACATTTCTCCAGTGTTCTTTCCTCCATATGTTGGAAAATGTTTTCACAAGTGGACCAACTTCTCCCTGTCCTTTAAGACACAATCCACCCTCTCTTCCTAGCTTTCCCTGATTTGCGTCTTCTAACATAGGGTCAAATTTTTATCATATGTAAAACTTCTCAGCTGGGTGCTGGGGCTTGCACCTGTAATCCTAGCTACTCAGGAGGCTGAGAGCTGAAGATCATGGTTCAATGTCAACCCCAGTAGGAAAGACCATGAGACTTTTATCTCCAGTAAACCACTCAGAAAACCAGAAGTGTCACTGTGGCTCAAGTGGTAGAGTGCTTGCCTTGAGCTGAAGAGCTGAGGGACAGCGCCCAGGCCCAGAGTTCAAGCCCCACGACTGACAACAAAAAAGAAACAACGAAACTTCTCATGGGACAGTTGCTTTCTCTGTAAAGTGAAACCATAATTGCTGACTTTTATCACGTGATGTATAATTTTATTTTATAATTGAACTGATAGGTCTTTCTGGAATTATGTTACAATTTCTCAGCTGATCATATCCTAAAAAGTGAGTTAAGCAAATCTATAGAGAGGAAAAATCTCTACCTAGGTGGTGAAACTTTTATCCTTATATGAAAATATTATTTGGTGATATGATTATTTCCACAAGAGTAACTCTGGCTACCCCCTTTTGGTCTTACTGTGTCCTCAGGCTGGTCTGTGAACCCAGTGATTCTCCCACTTCAACCTTCCTTGCACATAGAATTACAGGAATGTACCACCAAGCCAGGCCAGAATGGGATTTTTTTAATAAAAATTAAATTAGTTAATGGGTTTTTGGAACTAGGAACTTTTTTAGAACTCTGTTGGTGCAGCTGTTTTGCTTCATAGCTAATGACACTGAGATTCAAAGTGTGGAAAAATGAATTGTTGGAGGTTACTCATGGGGTCAAAACAAACCAGATCTAATTTCTTGGCCTCTTGCTTCTTACCCTATAATCCACAATGTTCTCTCAAAATCCATCCATTTCAAAGAAAGGGAGGAGGGAGAATTCCTAAGGAAAAGGCTCAGCTTATCCCCTTTTAGGAATATACCTAATGAGTTTCTCACAACTGTTCTCCAATGGAGGAGATAATCATGCTAATGAAATTAATTTTTTTGCTTTTTAGGTGAGAGTTACGTGTGTGCATCCAATGAGCCATTTCGTAAAGTTGATTACACCAAAAATATTAATCCGAACTGGTCGGTAAACATCAAGAGTGGCCCCCCCAGAGCCTTGGCGGCTGGCTCAGTGAAAAGTGAAGTGAAGGAAAGTAAAGACTTCATCAAACCCAAACTAGTGACTGTCATCCGGAGTGGAGTAAAGCCCAGAAAAGCCGTGAGGATCCTTCTGAATAAAAAGACTGCTCATTCCTTTGAGCAGGTCTTAACCGACATCACCGAAGCCATTAAACTAGACTCAGGCGTGGTCAAGAGGCTGTGCACACTAGATGGCAAACAGGTAAGGTGCCTTCCACTACCTTTGAACTCCCTGCCCCGTGGGCAGTTGGGTCTGAGGTCTGCCAGAACCACATGACCTAGACCTGGTCGAGGCGTGCGTGCACTATGTGTGTGTAGGCATCCTACATATCCTCAGGAATAGCAACAGCACACATTCCTCCAAGTATCTCAGGACCCACAGACGTGTTCTTCCTGTACTTCCTTGGGTAGTTGATCGGAGAATGTCATTTCTGAGAGACAAAGAAGTTGATGAGGCACCCTACATGCCATAGGATGGTTTCCATTCAGGAATAAGAATGACTGTTGATTAGTCAGCCTGTTATTTGCTTGGCTGTCACAGACATCAGCATTAAGTGTATTACACAGATTTAGAAAAGCCATAGGAAAAATGCACTTCAAAATGAGGTATTTTTTTATAGGAATGTTCATATAAAGTTTCTTCAGGAGCTAGGGAGATGATTGATTAGCACCTCAAAATAAATGAACAGTTGTCCATGAAAATGCAAGTTAAGTTATGGTAACAACATATCAGGGACTAAAATAACATAAGCACATTGTAGGAACGTGTGAATGAGTAGCAGTTGTATAAAGGTTGAATTTTGCCACAAGTCAGTTACCATTCCTAAAAAGAAACATGGCTCCTGAAGTGTATTTTCCCCGATTCCCTTAAATTTGAATTGTTTATATTTGTACTGTATTAAAATTATTAAATTATTAAAATATAGTATTAGACTTCATTTTGTTTCTTCCCCAGAATTCTTAATTTAAAATGTTTTGCTATTGGAGTATCGAGAATGAGTGAATAATATAAAACATTGGAACAGGGTCTTCCAGAAAAAAACAAAACAACTTCTCCTTTCTAAGACCAGATTTAATGAGTATAGTGTTGGCTGCAACATTATCCAAAAAAAGAAAATGTGCCAGATTGAACTCAGGGCCTGACACTCTACCTCAGCTCCTCCTCTGGCTTTTTGGTTGTTAATTGGAGATAAGTTTCACAGACTTTCCTGTTCTGCCTGGCTTCAAACCTTGATCCTCAGATCTCAGCCTCCAGAGTATCTAGTGAGCTACTCACACCTAGCAACATTATCAAGAATTTAAAGAAAGGTTCTGGGAGTGTAGCTCAGTACAAGAGTACAAGAGTGTGTAGGGCATATTCAATCCCAGGAATCAACCTCCAGCACCAAAAATAAATAGTATGACATACATTTAAAATCTAGATTCTAAAGTTTACAGCAGAATAGAGTAAATTTACAATGTCCTAGTTAATCTAATGACTAGAGAATATATCCTTCATAGTATATGCAGTTTATTGTAGAGTGGGTCACATTATTAATGAAAATAGCAAATTGTACAACAGAGTCAATATCACAATATAATACAAAACAAACTTCTTTTTTGGGGGAAAGTTGTGGGGCTTGAACTCGGGGTCTGGGCACTGTCTCTTAGCTTCTTTGTGCTCAAGGCACATGAGCCACAGGGCCACTTCTGGTTTTTTTTGGGTGGTTGATTGGAGTTTAGAGTCTCATGGGGATTTTTTTTTCTTGGGCTAGCTTCAAATCTTAATCCTCAGATCTCAGCCTCCTGAGCAACTAGGATTACAGACATGAGCCCCTGCACACAGCTCAAAAAATTGAGCTTAAGGTTCACTTTACATACCTGTGAAAATAAATTAGGCCACTGGAAAACAAGGAAATAAAATCAGATAAATTAGATAAGTGGTTATTTACTAGTGGGCACAGGAAAGCCAGGAATAGAGACTGATCTTTAAGATATCTAACTAATTACTTTTTCACTCTTTGAGAAAAAAAAATGGAAACATAATAATGTTTTAGGATCCATGAAAATCATAGGAAATTTGAATGTTAAGGTACACAATAAAATTTTATTGGAACAAAAAAGATATCTAAACAAAAATAAAATGAAAACCGAAATGCCGTATTGGAAAAGAGATGTCATGCAATAATAATTGCGGATGAGATTTGTAAAATGAGAACTCATTGGAATTCTCCAAAGGAATGACATTCAGGGTTACAGTAGGGAAATAAAGGAGAAGTTGGACATCTAATTGAAGCCATTGAAACCTTAATAGTTATTATCTTTGACTGGATATGTAAAAACATTAAGTAAGACACAAGCAACTGAAAATCATCAATATATTCAATGTATTCAGCTCCGCAGGGTGCTGAGCTGGACTTAGGTAAAGTATTGCTTTCTATCATAAAACATATCTGTACTTAATTTACAAGAAAGGTAATAGAGCCGTTTTTGTTTTTTGTCGGTCATGGGGCTTGAACTCTGGGCCTGGGCACTGTCCCTCAGCTCTTCAGCTCAAGGCTAGCGTTCTACCACTTGAGCCACAGCACCACTTCTGGTTTTCTGGTGGTTTATTGGAGATAAGAGTCTCACGGACTTTCCTGCCCAGGTTGGCTTTGAACTGTGATCCTCAGATCTCAGCCTCCTGAGTAGCTAGGATTACAGGTGTGAGTTACTGGCTAATAAAGCCTTTTGATAGAATGCAAGATCTGTATGGTCAGTTAAAGATTTAATATTAAAAATACATAGTGATTTGTCTAAAACAAGCTAAGATTCTTTTCTTATCTCAAACCAAAAGCCAACATGTTGCTAAATACACGCAATACTGGGAGTATTTCAGTGGCGATCAATACAAAATCTCCTCTGAAGGCACCAATAATTTGTGTTCCCTAAATTCTTTTTTTTTTTTTTAGAATAATGCAGTTTTAGCTAGCATCTAGACAAGTGTGTGGAGAAGTACTTAGGGAGAAATAGGCAGAAAAAAATTGGAAATAGTGATGAATGGTCTTACTATATATTAAATCCTCCTCCTCCTGCTATACCAAAAATAAATTCCAGGTGCTTCCAGACTGTGGATGTCAAAGTGAAACAAAATAATTTTTAAAATGTCAGTTGAAATAGGAAAGGATTTCCAAAACGTAAAAGTAGTGACAAATCATAAAACCTAAGGTTCGTTGGTCAGTGTAAAAATGAAAAAAAAGTTGGATGTTAAGCAGGCATGTGTGTTTTTAGATCAAGTTACAGTTGTATAATAGGAAAAGACAAATGATGTAACAGGCAAATGACATTTAAAATGTGGGGTCAAAATGTAGCTTGGTCATAATATTTGCTTAGCAGGTATAAAGTCTTGACACCATCAATAACAACAACAATAATAATAGCACTGAGATATTATTTTTAGTATTTTAAATGGGCAGATTTGGGACTGGAGGCAGGGTCCAAGTTGTAGATCATTTGCCTAGCAAAAGTGAAGCCCTGATTTCAAGTCCCAGTACTATCAAAAGAATTCTCAAAAAGAAAACAGATTTTTTTTTAAAAGAATGTCCACTACTTTAAGTGATGATCTGGCATTCTCAAATGGTGTGGGAAGTATAAAATTAACAAGTTGTCCAGAAAGCAATTTGTTCATTTACATTGCTACACCAAAGTTCATACTATTTGAGCTACTCAATTAACTTTAGGAATTTATATAATTTAGGAATTTATATAATCTAAGAAACATATTATGTAAGAATTTTTTAGTCTAGCATAAAAGCAAAAGAAAAGACCTCAATGATATTGCTGCAACACCTATGTACTGCCATTGAAAATGATGGCTAGAGGAATATTGAAGGACACAGAAAAACTGTTACATGAAAAAAGCAAGTAAATTTGTGCATGTCTTCAATTGCATATTGAGGAAGAGAAAAATAAAGGAAAATTTAAAAAAACAATTAAGACCGCAACATTGTAGCTGCCTTCAGAAACTGAACATTTGTTGCCATTTCTCAGATGTCTTCTTCCTGAGATCCAAACTCAGTATTTAATCCTTGAAATGTCAGTATGCGGCTAGCTAACGTTGGTTAAATACTTGTCAGTGATGCGTCTTACACATTTAAATATTCTAGGTACAATGAAAATTGGTATTTTTAAGTTTTTTTAATTTTATAATAGAAGAATGAAAAGGAGCTAAGATTGGTAATGAGCTGTCTTTGTACAACATTTTAGACCATGTCTTTTAAGCTTTCTGTTCTTCTTCTAGCTACTTCTTACCCAAATTTATGTTTGTGTAAAAGTAATCAGGTCTTAGGAGATGACTTAGGTTTTAGGCAGTTCACTACAAACCATCACTGCCCTGTCCCAACATGGACCCTGGTTGTAAGGGGCCCCTTCTTTGCTTTATGGACCTGAAAGCTTTTGAATTCACAGACAGTACTGTGAGCAGGTAGCACTGGTGTTGTTCCAGCAAGGAGGGTGCCTTGAATTTTTTCTTCCTTCACAATGGATGTTTCACATCTTCTGGCTACTGCTGTCCGTCCACTCTTTATAAAATCACCTCAGATAAAATCGTATTTTAGGGTTTTTTATGTTTTTTGTTTTGTTTTGGTTTTTTGGTTGTTGGGCTTGAACTCGGGGCCTGAATACTGTTGTCCTTGAGCCTCTTTGTACTCAAGGTGAGCTCTCTGCCGCTTGAGCGACAGCACCACTTCCAGTTTTTGATGGTTATCTGGAGATAAGATTCTCACAGGGACTTTTCTGTCTGGGCTGGCTTTGAACCATGGTCCTCAGATCACAGCCCCCTGAGTAGCTAGAATTAGTAGCATGAGACACCTGCGCCAGGTGGCTCAGGATTTTTATCTGTGTTAACTTTTGGGTTTTCTTCCCATGAAACAATGGCTGTCAACCAGGGGAAATTTTGCCCCAAGGGAATAATATCTGGAGTCATTATTATCATCATCATCATCATTATTATCATGATCATGATCATGATCATCATCATCATCATCAACATCATTATTTCATTGTCACAACTAGGAGTTATAATCTTCTGGCATCTGATGGGTCAAGGCCGGAGAAACTGTTAACGAGCCTCCATAGCATAAGACAGACAGCCACACGTAATTCCCGAACATCCCAGGTTTTAATAGTGTTGAGACTCAAAAATCCCTGGTTTGCAATCAAAGAAACACTTCTGAAAATAAATTCCACTGATTTGAGTGAAAACCCTATTATTAGGCCTTATTTCATAACTCACAGATGTCCTCATAGGTTACAGATGCACGAATGGGTGGAGGTATGTGTGAGTATCATGGTTTATGGTCTATGGACTTCAGTCTCTCCACTGTGTGAGGCTGACCTGTGTTTGGATAGTGCATCTTGCAGGGGATTAAGCAAAGATACCCCAAATGGTTTCACAGATATTTAAAGTATAAAAGATCAAGATTTAATCTTTTGTATCCAACTAGTTAATACCCAGAAGCCATATCATGGATGGTGTAATGTTTGAATCTAACGTGTTCCCCAAAGACCATGTGCTAAAGGTGTGGTTGGGATGAAAGAAGTGATTGGACCAGGAGGCTCTGACATCATCAATGATTCACTTATTGATGGCTGCCTAATTTTATTGACGGGTAGTGATGGAAACCTAGGAGGTAGAACTTAGTTGAAGGAAGCAGGTTCTTGGGAGATCTAGCCTGCCCTGGCCCTTTCTCTCTCTCTTTCTTGGTGTTGATGGCCATGAGCTCTCCCTGCTCTGACTTAGTTCTGCCTTACCTCAGGCCCAAAGGAATGGAAGACAGCTAACCATGGACTGAACCCATGAGCCAAAAATATAATGAACCTTCTCTCTTTTTGGTTGCTTTTTTTTTTCAGGTACTTTGTCAC